GCTCGCGAAGAAGCTGAAAGGCGCGAAGCTCGCGAAGAAGCTGAAAGGCGCGAAGCTCGCGAACGTGAAGAAGCCGAAAGGCGCGAAGCTCGCGAACGTGAAGAAGCTGAAAGGCGCGAACGTCGCGAGGAGGCCGAGAGACAGGAGCGCCTTGAGATGAAACGACTAGAATTGGCAATCCTACAGTGTTCGCAGGCGCCTAGCGTAGCTTCTCCGACGATTCAGGTCAGCGGTTTTAGAATTCGGGACCAACTGCCACCGTTCGTAGTAGGCGAGGACATGGCGAAGTATCTCGTCAAGTTTGAACACGTCTGTGAGCGAAACGCTTTGGAGCGGCCTCTTTGGGCGCGGAACCTGCTAGCTCTTCTTCCCGGCGAAGTGTCCGACGCATTAACTTGCTTGTCTAGGGAAGCGTTTGAGAGCTATGACGAGGTTAAGGAAGTGCTCTTGAGACGTTACAAGTTGTCACCCGAGGCTTTCAGGCAAAGGTTCCGGTATGCTGAAAAGGGAAATGAGTCGCACGTTGACTTCGCGTTTCGTCTTAAAGCCGATTTGATTGAATGGCTCAAGGGCGAAGGTGTGTATGACGACCGCGATAAAGTGGTCGAATGCGTTGCATTGGAGCAATTCTACCGCTGCATCGAGGAGGATGTCAAACTTTGGCTGCAGGACAGACTTGGGGAAGTACAGTTAAATAAGGCAGCTGAGTTAGCTGAGGAGTATTATGCTCGCCGAAAGTTGCATAGCAGGGCAGTGCGCGTTGAAAAGGATGAAAGGAAAGAGGGCTTTTCAAGGAAACCTGATCAACGGAAACCCGTTCCGCACCGTAATTTCAAAAAGGACCCGTCTCTTACGAAGGACAGTGTAGGGGAAGGGCAAACAGAAGCGGAGAAATCGAGTGAGGTTTCTACCACACAGGCATTTGAATCGGAAAACAAACGGAAGCCGTTAATCTGCTACAACTGTAAAAAGGAAGGGCACATCGCGAGAAACTGTCAGGAAAAATTTGCCTTCGCAACAATCCGAGAATCAGGAAAAAACATGCGGTTGTTGGAGCCGTATCTCCAAGAAATTAGGGTCAATGAGAAAACGTGCCGAGCACTTAGAGACTCAGCGGCAACCATGGACGTTGTCCATCCTTCATTGGTGTCTCCGGATGACTTCACAGGAGAATTCGCGTGGATCAGGCAAGTCGCCGAGGTGCAGAGTGTTCGCTTACCAATCGCCACGGTTGTCATTGAAGGCCCGTTCGGTAAGCTTCGCACCGAAGCAGCTGTGTCTGCCGCGCTAAATGATCGTTTTTCTTATCTTTTCTCCAACAACTCGGAGCAGCTTCTCAAAGAGCAGGGCAAATCGTTCTTCCCCAACTTAGCGTGCATGGCTCTCACGCGATCGCAAGCGCGGAAGCTATCGCGGCAGCTTGATCTGGATCCATGCGGTGAACTCTCAAGTGACCTTGTCGGCGGGTCGACGGAACCCCAGAAAGGAAAGTTTCCGCATGAGTCATGTGAGCAGTCACGCGAGCGGCCCGTCGCCGAACCGGCCGGCGCGGTTTCCGTAGAAAAGGGAGACGACATGGCGCCATTGAGTCAGAGCGAGGGGGTTGCAACGCTCTCGCCTGTAGCGGAAAGTTTGAGCGAGCTGCCGAGAGTTGATCGAGAGACGCTCATTCGAGAGCAGCGTGAGGATCTCTCGATTGAAGCGCTAGTGGAAGGCCAAATTGAAGCGCTAGTGGAAAGCCACAAAAACGCGGCAAAAGTGCTGTCGAAGGAGCACTACGAGGAATCGGCGAAGAAGCGTGCTTTTGAAGTTGATAATCAGGTAATGCGGCTGCAGCCATCCAAAAGGAACAAGCTTGAGGTTGATTGGGAAGGGCCCGCCAAAGTATTATCGAAGCCTTGCGATACAACTTATGAGGTGCAAGTAGGAAGGCGGCAGAACAAAATTTACAACTTGATGAAACCCAATGTTCAACATCAAGCGGTCGTAAATCAGCTGTTGAATGCTTCAAAGGAAGAGGAAGCAGAAATTTTGAGTTCTAGTGAGTTAATTGAAGGGGGATCGAAAGTAATCCGGGAGCAGATAAACCTAGAGCCTAGCGTAAGTGAAGGAGGACCTGAGAAAGAGGACCTGAGAAAGATTGTTTCCGAGTTTGGGTATGTGTTGTCGGACCGTCCCGGAGACACGACGGTGATCGAACACGATATCGAGCTAAGCGGTGAGGAGTCAATCAGTAGTAAGCCGTATCGTTGTTCCCCTGTGCAACGTCGAAAGTGTGAGCCGCTCTTGGTGCCGCATAGGTATCGTCGCCTAAATGTGGCCGGTTACTGAAGTGGAGCCTGTTGCTCCACAGCGCAACTTTGACGTTCGCTATCAAAAAAAAAATAAAGGAAAGGTAAACGCTAAGGCAGGTGCATTGAGCAGTGAGTTCCAGCTAGTAACTTCTCAACCTTTCGGTTTCTGGCGTGCGATTCGGGGCAAAATTTTGACCTCATCACGACCTGGGCTGAGCGCTCTCGTTCAGAGTGATCTCAAGGGGCCAACTTTGTGGTATTCTAATTCGTTACGTTGTTGTACGTGGGAAAAAAAGAATTGAGTTGTCATTTTAAGAGTCTTTTGTCCCACATGTGCCTCTTGATGTAGAGGGAACAAAATTCCGATAAACACGTAGATAGGTATATGTTGTACTATACTTTGTCTGGTGTTCTGTCGGGTGACCGAGGGCACTTGCTTGTGTCGTGTGTTGTCTGTTGTCGAACCGTTCTTAGCAAGTTGCAGAACCATCGACAAGTGCTGAAACCGAAGATGGTCAGAAGAGACGAGCGAAGTTGGCCAGCAAGTTGTGGCGACAAGCCAGTGGAGCTGGGATCCGTCGTCAAAAATGGGATGTGTTCCCAGAACAGTCTGGAGCTGTATTCTCCCCATGGCCCTGGAGGCGAACCTGGAGGGACCTGGCGAACGAGCGCACCTGACTTCCGAGCCCCGTGGAAGCAGCTCGTCTTTCCGGTGCATTGTCTGGCGGCGGGGGTGCTGTTATGCCAGCGAGTCCTCGTCAAACGTCCGTGCCTCTGAAAAAGGCAATCTGGGTCAAGGCCAGCCCGCAGTCTGCCTGACGCGAACATCTCAACGGCGTGAACACGCGCGGCGCCTCTCTCGCCCACGTGCATCGAGTCAGCGGCGCACGTGACAGCGAGCCGGCGTTCTCGTGTCTGGTGGTCTGACGCATGGCGCGGCAACCCCATTGGAAGAATCTGCGCTGACGACCAGCGGCGCTTCTGATTGGACATTTTGGTTGGACCCGGTGTAAATAAAAGAAGCCCTGCGGCGCGTCGCGATCGGAGGTCCTAGGAGAGGAGTCCCCGTGTCGGAGGGCCGACATGTGCGTGAGTCAGCGGTCTTAGGCGAAGGGCTGACCTATGTGTTAGAGAAGAGAGCTCGGCTCTTCGAGTCTCTGTCGGCACCAGTGCCGAAATTGTAACGCCTCTGTAAATATGCTGTACATAAACCTTGTTTAACTCACCGTCGTCTCGTCCGCTCGTCTTATCAGCTCTGCGCAGAAGCAGTCGCGAGCTGAGATACATACGCTACCAAACGGCTGGTGACCTTCCCGGCGGAGTTGAAAGCAGTGGCGCCTTCGAGGCCGTGTTGGCGTCCCAGTCTTTCGCAACAGCGTACAGACCGAGAGAAGAGACCAAGACTGTAGACGTACGCAGCGTTTTCCATGGCATGGATGGGGGGGGGGGGGGGGGGGGGGGGGGCAGGTTTTTACCTCAGCTGCCCATATACGCTGAGCATTGGTCGGTTGGTTGGTTGGTTCCTCAACACCTTGGCGCAACCCACCTAGGGGGATAGGCCATGAATGGGACGGTGCCTTGCTTTTTAAATTAATTAACTTCTTAAAAGGGAGGGTTGGATTAATTAGGTAATATAGGTAATAATTTAAAGGTGTTAGATTTCTCAACAAACAAACAAAACCTTAAAAAACATAATAAACACACTTAAAAGGGAAAAAATTATCCATAAAACAACTGAATTTATCATTGTTTAGCATTCCATTTTTTTAGATTCTCGTATAGAAAATTTGTAACAGCGGTAAAAACGCTCCTGTGGCTGAAACCAAATGCGACTGCGCGAAATGAAGGAATCACCGGAAGTGTCAAGTTTAAGTCCAACTTTCGTAGGGGTTCTCCTAGTAGATTTTTCCTTTGACTTTTGAATTTTCGGCATGACAAAAAGAAGTGCTCCAAAGATTCACTCTCATTACAATAAAGGCACAAAGGCGACTGTGCCAACCCGACCTGGGCTCTCGCATGTTTTGCGAGCCAACTTTCTCGCTTTCGCTTCGTTCTGTGCTGATATTTCTGTGACGTTTTAGCGGCTAGGAGAAGGAAAGTTTTAGTGGAGACAGGTTAGCAGCGAGGAAAAAAAATCATGGAGAACGAGGCACCGTGGTTACTCTGGGTGAATCCAGGGTTGCACTGTCCTGGTCAGGCGTCGGCAAAGGGCTTTCCAAGCCCAGCTTGTAGATGATAGTTATAGCGCGAGAACAAAACGATGACAGAGAGACAAGAAGGACATGAAAGACACGAGCGCTCGTGTCTTTCGTGTCCTTCTTGTCTCTGTGCCGTCGTTTTATTCTCGCGCTATAACTATGGTCATGCCATACCAACTAGCCCAAGCTGCCACACTCCCAGCTTGTAGAGTCTTGCCTTCCTAGAGAAATTCACGAATCTGCCCTTATTAGAATAGCGGTCCCCTGGAAGTGCGTACATTTAAATCTTACACTCCTCTCGGCACGCAGTTAGGGGAAGAGGGTGAGAGAGGAAACGTTGATTAGGTGGCCAGTGAGTGAATGTGGGAGGCTCCCTCCCATAAGACAACTGTCAAGCGCTTGCCCCTTGAGTATTTTTTGTGTGCTGCGTTTTTTTTTGCGTCAGGTAATTTTTGTTCGACATATGTGTATACTTAAACAAACGCGATACGTAGACACATAGAAAACACTGAAGTTGAATGACGGTTTATTTTTCGTAACACTGGTACCTGCAAAATTCAGGTCGTTCACGTTTCCGTAAACAGAAAAATAGACAACCACTTCATATATTTTTTTGTTTTGTTTTTCCGTTGACCCGCCATCTTCGCGAGTGGTATATGAACATAATTTCGATGAACTGACATGTTCTCTATGAGCGATTTCATAGCACAATCGCTCTTGTTTGTAAACGGGCACAGAAACGTAACGGTACCCACACGCCCCCGTAGCTCGATCACCGAGGTTCGCCACGTCTTACAGGTCCCGTTTTCTCGCCATTGAAGGCAATGCGAGGAGTTCAAAAAAAAAAAAAGGAATGGTGAACAATCATTCGAGCATCAATTTGAGAACACCTTTTCGTGCTTTACTAGCAACGAAGTGGTGAACTATTAATACTGCCTCAGTTCACATTAGACAACATTCGTGTCCTGCTTTGACCAACGCCACATTACGTCTCTTCTTTACACTACGCCTACAAGAGAACGATGGCACTCCATACCCGTTTGTCAAGCAACTAATAACAGAGTCTGTAAAAGAAATCCATGAAGTCCTTGAAGAACGTCTTAAACATGTCCCTTTCTTTCGTAAGGTAAAAATGGAGACATCGCAGAAGCATGGAACGATGATAAGTGCTGCACCCGATGCACCCGTAATTGTCGCCATCTGGTGGGATGCATTGGCTATAAACAGTATTTTTTCCCTTCTTAGCAAGCAGTGCTTTTTTTGTGAGCTATCAAAAACGCTGCCCTGAAAAAGTGCAGGTTTCCAGCATGAAATAAAGTTTTATGCTGAAAACGGGTACGTATCGACTTTATCTTTCACAACGCTTACACACCTTGCCTGTTTCCGCAGAACTGATTTGCCAGTTACAATTTTCAGTGAAGCTACAGCCACCGAAGTGAATTGATGAAAGAGAATCCGAGGACTTTATATTATTCCTCCGGCCACGCCTGATCGAAACAAAATTATCTCGAACCATCACCCTACAACACAAGCGCAAATGTGCTGCTGCGGGAGCATCGCTATACCGCGAAGTACACAACTGCGTTAGGGGCCGAACATAGGACGTTCTATGACACACATAATTGCTTTTCGCACCGCATGCCTTCGTGCAGAAATGCTGTAGATTGTTTTGTGAACATTGTAGGCGACGGCGTACCTATATACGTAAATGCCTTCCAAAGTCAACGTTTTCACCTAAATGCACCACCGTGGCACGTCTGAAATAATACGGAAAGTCCTGTGTCACAAGACTTAGTAAGTCTTGTGAAAGGCCCACCTTTTAGGCACAAAGGCGCGTTCGTCATAGGGTTTGTGCACCAGCACGTGTAGCATGACATAATCTCGGGAGTTAGGAAATAGAAAATATCTGTTTGCTGCGATGGGGATATGGTGCCTATTGTATCTTCAGGATCAGAAAAGGGGGCTACTGGCGGCTACGTAGACTCCGTCTCGCGTGTCTTGACGAGCTCGGCCTGACCGCTTAGGTCAGGGAGAGATCCACAGCTGCAGCGCAACTATAGCCAGCTCTTAATTCATCCTGAACGTAGGACACATGCGAGGAGTCATGCGACACGACCACAGTTCGTCACATAACAACGCGTTCTTCAACGAGGTCAGCAACGCTTCCAAAGTCTTCACATAAAATTTCAGTCGGCACAGAAAGTCCACAGCACCTCGTTGACACAGCGCGCGGCTATTTTCCACCTGTTGATAGTGGTGGACTGCAGAAACACGCATCTCTGTGCACAAAGCGAGGAGAAGCCACGACAGAGGTGTGTTCACCTTTTGCCAGTGTCTGTCGTCCCGAGTGTGAGCTGCGGCTGTCCTGTCTACTTAGGTCGCGGTGGTCCACAATGAACTGCCGGTTCGTCGAGCCTACGGGTAAGCGGAGCCCGGAATGTAGAGGGGGTTTCTGACGTGATGAGACGGCCCGGCCCCGTTCCTGTTGGACTGCTGTACGATGGTGACGGCCCTGCCTCCGCGAGCGTAGCAGCACTCGGGTATTGCGGACCCGCTGTCCTTGTGGTGGTGCTGGAACGTGGTGAAGGCGGACGCCGACGAGTCCGAGTAGCTTAGCGGCTTGTGGCCGTAGCCGCCTCGCTTGTGCAGTGCCCTGAGATACGGTGCGAAGATACCCACGAGGATCAGGAACCCTGTGGCGATCAGAGCGAAAGTTAGCGCCGCTATCTGATGCTCTCCTGGTCCCAGCAACAGGAACGCCGTGTGTCCCGCCGCTAGGATCGGCACCGCCAGGAGACTGGTGCACAGCAGGCTCCTGGAGTCACGCCGGTGGTAGGAGCAGTTGCGCGTTCGAAAGGCCATGAGCACGGCGAGGGCCAGCACGACGCATGGGTAGGCCTGGTGCAGCAGGAAGCGGGTCTGGTTTAGCTTGCACCATCGAGGCGGAGAGAGCATCCAGGCCTGCGCCTCCAGGGCCATTTGGACGGCCACGAGGAAGCATATGGTGAGCAGCTGGTTGAGGCCGCTAGCTCGGCCACCTAGACCAGCACTCTGCATGGCGTTCAGGTGCATTCCCTTCAGGAGCAGCGCACCGAAAGCGAACGCGTAGCTGGTGTGATGCGCCAACTGCTGGACGGCGCACAGTCGGGGCCTAGGCCGGAAGGTGAACAGCAGTGCCGACAAGAAGAGGCTGACCACCGAGAGAAGCAGCAGGAGAGATGTCAGCTGATGACCCTTGCGCACGACGCCTTCACAGAGCTTCATCAAAAGGAACACCGCGACGTAGGCGCTGAGGAGGATTCCGAGTCCGCACATGATGACGACGGCGAGTGTCCAAGGTTTGGCTATCCAGATTGTGTACAGCTTCGGCTTGGCCAGCCGGACGGCTCCGGGTACCGTGGAGGTCTTGTCGGCGAGCGCTCCGTAGTCCTCGTCCGAGGCCGTCTGGGACTGTGACGGTGAGCTGGTGGTGTCGTCGCCCAGTGGTTGGGGTACACCATCGTTGTGGATTTCCAGGTTGCTGGAGCGTAAGTTAGAAGAGCGCTGCCTTGTGGACGGCTTGACGCTCGTCTTGCCGGCTTCCACGGCGGATCCTCGAATGAAGGGGCCTCGGGTCGGCACCAAGACATCGTCCACTTCAAGGCCAGTGTCGTCCGTGTAACCGGATATCTACAACGAGACAGCGACAGGTTTAAGCATGCAATCGAAATAAATATTAATAGACTACAAGGTGTGGAGACGTTTATGTAAGCTGGTTACGACTACCTTTGTATGATTACATTTGTATGTAGAAGGGAAAATAGAATGCGAAATAAGTGCATTTAAGCTTCTTGTAAGATTTCTGCAGCACAATGACGCCATCTAATTCGTGTTACTCATTGACAAGTCTTCTTTGACATATTGCGCTATCCAGTACGTAAATGACCAGGTATATCAAACTTTGATGGGACTTCGTCTGAAAGCTCGCATAAATTGTCAATGCAGTCGAAAAAAATAGAGAATGCAAATCCCGTTTACTCTGGGGCCTTATAATATTCCTGAGATTGATGTAGGCTTCAATTTTCACTCGTGGTCACAACTCGCCCAAGATAAAAGCATCACAGTCAAGGTTACATTGGTCGCAAGCAAAGTTCCTTCTGTGTTATCAATTTATCAAAAAGGCGGTTTTCACGATCGATAACGGGCTCAGACACCGGAGAAAGCAACTGCCACTACTGTAGTCAGGACGGATACGAACGGCACCTAAATCGGTACACACTCTGCTTGTTTGTCATGGAGAAGTAATCACCCATGCAACTTACCTTTAAGTACATTGGTTAAAATGGGACCTTCAAGTACTGTTTTTTTTTTGTAGGTTTTCTACACCAGCTTTATTCGCTGTTCCAGCAGAATGTGGAACGAAACTTGCAACAACAGAAAGCCTCCATCCCACCCCTTACCTAGATTCTCATTTAACCCCCCCCCCCCCCCCATGCCCTGTTTTAGGGGCGAAGATATAGTAGGATGTATGTCGTTCCCTCGCATGAAGGAAGGAAAAAAAAAATTTCCTCCGTTTTCTCTCGTAATAGTATGTTGTATAAGTAGCCACTTCTGGTTAGTTTTAAGAATTGCTCAAAAGACGGCGTCATGTGTACATGTTCTTGGAAATAATATTACTATAGATGGCATTGGTGGTTGTTGTATAGTTGACGATTACTGAGGATGAATGGCGCTGTTATAATAACAAATTCACAACATATCCACGAAGGGAATGACGATGTGTGGGCGAAGCGCCCGTCCATCCGTCCGTCTGTTCGTCTATCTGCCTCACACAGACGGGAGGACGGACGGATGGCCGCTTCGCCCCACTCACCATCATTAACTCCATGGACGTGCTGTGTGTTCCACACGCAAGCTCGGCGAGATTTCGCGAGACCGCAACTTTCACCTGTAGCACTTCGCCGCTGGTGGAGACGGCCTTGACGGCGTACTGGAGCGTTGACACGTGCCTCTCGTGCGAGAACTTGAGCGGCGTGTCGCTCAGAGACGCCACCCCTGCGCCGGTCATGTTGAAGTTGAGCGAGTCGAGCGCCTCCAGCACGGACGCACTCAGCCCCTGGCGGCCGCCGAAGAGGCAGTCGGTGCCGCGGCCACACTGCACCCTCTGCACGGCACGCAGGGCGGCACCCATGGCCCACACAGCCCGGATGACGGCCACCGCTTCCGCGCTGTCGCTCATTTCGTCGTTCCAGCGCTCAACCACGTCGTTCCTGCAAGAGATAAAACACCTCGCTATGACGCCCGATGAAGTCGATTTAGCAGAGTTTGTAGTGGATGTTTGTGTACTTAGCAGTCGAATGCAGTAAAACCTCGGTTATAAGAACCTCGCGGGATCACCAAAGTATTCGTACCACCCGAAAAACATGAGAAACTACACTCTAAAAAAAATTCCGCCATATCCACGAAGTGAATGATGATGAGTGGGCGAAGCTCCGGAGGTAAACCTGGTAAACCATGAATCCTCTGTACATTTTGCCCACTCGATTTTATTACATCGCTCCCCCTAGCGTACGTCGCCGCACTAAATCGAAGGATTGCCTTCAACCAATGACACGCGCCATATGTGACATCATTCCTATTTTATAAGATCTCGCGTCTTTCATCAACTACAAGTACCGCTTTCTAGTTTATAACATCTTGCATCTTTTCATCATCAGCTACAAGTACCACCATCTAGTAAACACTACAAGAACTAAACGAGAGGTGGCTACATGGATGGATGCTATGAGCGTCCCGTTTATAACGGGGTGGTGACAAGTATGCCACCAGGCTCGACAAAAAAAAAACCCTTTTTTCTTTTTTTATGTTGGCCTAATGCCTCTACTTCGATAAATTCTATCTTAATGGAAAAAAAGGTAAATTTTCAGCTTAAGTTCTCTGCCATTTACGGTACACTGTCCATATTTTATTTTTCCAATATTTATTTTTGTCCTTTCTCTCTAATTTTCTGCCACCAATAATCTAACCGTCTCTTACTTATTTCAATCGCGGGTGTGTTCAGCTTTCCATTGTTGTCCCTAAAACCCAAGGCTTCCTGTAGGCTCGTGCCCAAACGTACATCTGGGTGGATATCTCCACATTCAATCAGAACATGCTCCGCCGTTTCCTTATCTTTCCCGCAGCATGTGCATTGTTCTTCTTCTTTACTGAATCTTGCTTTATAACTACGCGTTCTAAGGCAACCCGATCTCGCTTCAAACAGTAAAGCGCTTCCCCTTGAATTATCGTAAAATGCCTCCCTCCTTATTTCATTTTTGCCCTTTCGGTAGTTACTCAAAGCCGGTTTTTTCTCCATATATCTGCCATCCAGTAACTCCTCTCCGCCTCCCTGACTTTTCCCTTAACGCTCTTTGTTGACATATGGCTTACAATACCAGCCGTATATTTACTAGTGAGTCTTCTAGTTCTTTTTCTCCACTGTGTGTCCACGCTCTTCCTATACAAATAACGGAACACCTTCTCTGCCCATCTACTCTCCTTCATATTTCTTAGCCTTTCTTCGAACCTTATTTTGCTCTGCGCTTCCCTCGCCTCAAAACCTGCCCACCCCATATCGCCCTTTACAGCCTCGTTTGTCGTCTTCCCGTGAGCACCCAACGCGAGGCGTCCCACAGTCCTTTGATTTACATCCATTCCCGATTGCACCTCTGCCCTCATGCACACCACTGAGTTCCCAAAAGTAAGCCCTGGAACCATTACACCCTTCCACAGACCTCGAAGCACCTCATACCTATTGTATCCCCACAACGCTCTGTGCTTCATTATTGCCGCATTCCTCTTTCCTTTTGCTGCCGAGGCTTTTTCCTGTACCTCCATGTATCTATCACTCTCATTTACCCATACTCCAAGGTACTTGTATTCACTTACCCTCGGTATTTCTTGGCCTTGTATGGACACCGTCTGATCACAGGGATCATTGAATACCATCAATCCACACTTCGTTACACTGAATCCTAGTCCAAGAGCTTCACCTTCCCTTCCGCATATATTCGCCAGCTGCTGTATATCATCTCGACTGTCCGCAAATAAGACGATATCGTCCGCATAAAATAAACCTGGAAGCTTCTGTTCAATCATCATGCCGCCCTGTTTGTGTGACAGATTAAAACCAATGTTGCTACCTTCTAGCGCTTTTTCCATACTCACCATGTACAGCATGAATAACAGCGGGGACAAAGGACATCCCTGTCTCAGACCCCTGCTAACCTCAACGTTCTCTTTGCTACGCATTCCTTCCCACTCTATGCAAACTGTATTTTCTCGGTATATCTCCCTCAAAAGCTGTATACAGTCGTCGCCCATGCCCATTCCTTTCAATATATCCCACAAAATTTCCTGATTAACGTTGTCGTATGCCCCAGTGATGTCTAGAAAAGCCACGTACAAGGGCCTATTCTCTATTTTAGATATTTCTATACTAAGCGTACATACATACAGGAGACGGTACCGCCATCTAGTGAACACTGCAAGAACTAAACTAGAGGTGGCTACATACAGGAGACGGTACCGCCATCTAGTGAACACTGCAAGAACTAAACTAGAGGTGGCTACATACAGGCTACAGGGGACGCACAGCCCACGCCATAAGGAGCTTCGCCCCTAAAATATTGAGTGAAAAGGGTGTCTTTTTGTCCCCCACCAATAATCGTCATCAGGCTTGCGTGCGCTTCCTTTCTCGAAAACTCGGCGCTGGCCACTTTCCTATCGAGAATGCAATGTAACCCTCATAATGTGCATGTCGATCGTGACCGGAATGTACCGGGCGCGGGGCGATAGCGCAAGGATGGAACTCAATATAAATGACGATTATTGTTGTGGGACAAAAAGACACCCTTTTTACTCGCTCTTTTTTTTTTTAGGGTGTAGTATACGACAAAAGAAATTTGTTCTTTATCGGGGCCACAGCGACACCATGAACAGCTCTGCATGATTGCCAGTAAAGTTATTAAACTTCAATGATCCTACTTATACTCGTAAATATCCGGTGAGCGCGCACGCGTGCAACTAATGAACCACATGTGTTGTGGTCCCTTCCCAATCATTCTACGCTTTTTTAGCATGACATCCAAGTAGTGCGGCGAAAGTGACTAAACAGGGGCTTTGCACATGGCAGTAGTTGAACGCCGGAAAATTCAAGTTTAGAACCGATGTCCTCTGTCGCTGTTATTTTCTAACCACGGTGGTATTTGGTGCGCTTTTCAGGTGATTTACGGCCATGCCCACACAATCGAGAGGTGTTTTGTTTTTATTTTTCCCTCTCATAATTCGGATTTCTCCCGCGCAAATTGGACAGTTGGCAGGCTTGCGCGTACGCTGCAAGGCTTACCTCTTTCCCCGAGACCGTCCGCTTCGTCTCTAGAGGTTTTCGTTCACCTTTCGTAAGAATTCGTGATGCGCCCGCAGCCCAAGTGCCAATCTTGTACCAAAGGACGCCTGATTACTAGGACATGGCTTGCATTGACGTGGCAGTCACGTGTTATCATAGTATACTCGAGCATAGCGCAGCGCCTCGAGCATAGCATTACGCGTTAGTGCTACGTTCATGCTGTTAAAGAGAAGAAAAAAAGCGCCACGCCAACGGCATCTGTAATCAAAGCATCAAGGCGCAATATGGCCTCCGAGATTCGCGCGATCTCGGAGTCAATGGCGCACCGTTGATGCGTAGGCAGCGCGTGCAGTGCCTGGCCGTACCTCTGCGCCAGCGTATACGTTCGTATCAAACGTAACGGACTGAAAAACTGTTCGCAACAATCGTACTTCATCACACTGCATGCAGGCTAAAATGTACTTAAACCGGCACCACAGAAATACTCGTATCGCCCTGAAACTCGTGCGAGCCATGATGGTATCACCGAGGCTTTACTTAAATGTGGATAATGTTACTTTAATACAAAACACTGCTCGTGCACCCGTGACACCGTCATGAATAGCGGTATAGGTTTAAATTTGTGTGCCTTCAGCCGCGGTGTGAAACCATGGCAGCGTATTCCCCGAAACACCGCTTCAATTATTACGAAACAAAGCCTTACGGTACACGTAAAAACACGTTTACACGTCGATTATGTCTTATACGGGCAAGTCTTCAACGCAATAAAGGAACGCCGGAGAACAAAGAGCACGTGAAAGGAATTTAGATGACGAGGGCTAAGACCGGGCTTCATTAAAGGGACACCAAATAGCAGCAACGACTTGGTTTAGATTCACAAACTGCACTCTAAGAACTCTTGAGTTTTACTATCATAAGTTCATTATTAGGGTAGCAAATAGAGGTTGAACTTTCATTATTCAATTTTGCGCCGAAATTTCTGCGTGTGACGTATAAAATTTCAAAATGTATTTTTCGTATTTTCGTGACATTGGCCTGACGATATTTTCTGAACCTTCGTATGCTATAGGTCAATGGCACCCACAGATGACAATGTATTTCATTTTTATCGATTGGAAGCTACGTAGGACCCAGTAGACTCTTCCGAAATCTATTACGTCATGGTGGTTGGTGCGGGAACCAAAAGGTGGCGTGTTCACCCATGTTTTTTTTTTTTTCGCGCGTTTTCTCGTTTAGAAAGCGTCGTGTCGTGGTAAGAGTGGTGTTTTCGGGATTGGTATACAGTATTTTTACTAATACGCGAAAAAAACGTTTTCTCTCTCTCTTTCTTTCTCTTTAGTGTCCCTTTGAGGCAACTCGGTTACTCGTGCTGGCAAACTGTGTACGGGGTTCACGCGTGCCACTTGGAGTAACGACGATAGTTATAGCGCGAGAACAGAACGACGACACCGAGACAAGAAGGACACGAAGTACACGAGCGCTATAACTATCGTCATGCCATGCCAACTAGCCCTAAGCTGCCACGCTTCTAACCTGGAGTAAGTCTTGCGCAGCTCCTGCAGCAGTGGCGCCGCTCCGTCCCTGTCCATGAGGTCGCGCAGGTAGTCGCCGTACTCGGCCGGCCGTTGCGTGTCGTCCGGAGACGCGAAGAGCACGTGACGCAGGCGCCTCAGCTTGTGCGGCGCCAGCAGACCCGCCAGCGAAGCCGTCACGTCTCCGGGCGTCACCAGGACCCAGGAGAAGGCGGCGTCCGGATCGGGCTCGTAGCTCACCAGGAACGCCTTGGCCTCGGCGGGGGTCACGAAGAGCGCAGCCGCACGGCAGCCGCTCTGCGCGTCCCCATTCGGAAACACGAGCAGCGTAATGAAATTTTAGGGTTCCGAGCCCAAACAAGGAACACTCTTCTCATCTTTTCAAACCACAGTAAAGAGAGATCTTTAGGGTACGCAGACCGGATTCTCATAAACACTAACTTAGCCTTATCACTCAAGCTACTGGGTTTGTCTATAAAGCATCTTCACGTCACAGTTGGGAAGTAAATTTGTGGAAAAAAGAACAGGTCACACACAGAGAAGCAGTTAAGTACGCGAAATCTATATCATTGCATTTGTTTGACCACAGCAAACAATTACAATATTACGAAACTTTTTTCTGGAATTTCGAATGGCAGCGATTTAATAAGAGGTCGATACAATGACGCGCGTTCCAATTAATAAGGACGAAATTTGTAGAGATTCGTCAGCTGCCTAACATTTTTGCCCTCTCTCTCGCCCCGCCGCGGTGGTCTAGTGGCTAAGGTACTCGGCTGCTGACCCGCAGGTCGCGGGTTCGATTCCCGGCTGCGGCGGCTGCATTTCCGATGGAGGCGGAAATGTTGTAGGCCCGTGTACTCAGATTTGGGTGCACGTTAAAGAACCCCAGGTGGTCAAAATTTCCGGAGCCCTCCACTACAGCGTCTCTCATAATCAAATTGTGGTTTTGGGACGTTAAACCCCACAAATCAATCAATCAATTTTTGCCCTCTCTGCACCATTGATACTACACCATCGATACTGCACCGTTGAGGTGCTCGCAGGTGCCAATGTCACATTTTTTCGTAATCTCGGTCTGCTTAGAACAATTGTAACCTATCACAGGAAATCTTTAGCCAATGTCACGGCACCCAGCTTGAAACCTGTCAGCTTGGAGCCATCAACACGTCAGTCCTCGCGTTAAGATCCTCAGAGGACGGGCCGTAGACCAAGAATACCCGATCACAGCAACGTTGTGTACAGGCTTCCATTGTTCGACTACTGTTAATGCCACCAGGTGTCCACCTTCATGTGAACCTCTGATTTCACGTATGTACAGAAAAGGGTGAACACAAAAAGTGCTTGGTGTGTTTGTCCTTTCGTGTGCTTACGTTTTTGTTTTCGATTAGCAAGCGATGCGATTTGACGCTGATTTGTGGGCCCTTTGAACCAATTCGAATTCAACACAGCACCACCACAATAATTAATAAATGAATGACTGATAAATTAATAAATTTTACTTAAAGCAGGGATAATTTTGTGGCTTGTGTTGAGTTCTGGAAGATAGGGAGGTAGGGAACAGAGGGTAAGGAAGTGAACAGACAGCACCGCCATCGGCCTAGGCGACACAATTCTAAGAACGCCATGGCCTTCGACGTCGACGATTGGCCCAGCCCCAGCATTGAAGACAGAAATCGAGAAATATCTGTGTCTAAGGCTGATGCAGGATCGTAGGTCACGTAACCCCGTCAAACGATGTCTCATGATCTGGCCGGCAATGCAGGCTCCAGGGTGAAGTCCCAGAAGAGTCGTATTTATTATTTATTTATTTATTTATTTTTTACAAGTACCTACATCGCCCATTGGGAATTGTTGTAGGGGGGTTACAGTAGAAAATAGAATACAAAACAGCAAAATTTAAAGCAAATAAATCGTGCATTACAGTATACAGGAGAAATCAACACTTGTAGTACAGTATTAGAAAAAAAGTACAAAACACAAGATTATATTGTATTGAGTGAGAGACGTTCTCTCCCTTGCTTAATTACCTCGACAAGCTGCTTCGTGGAGCCCAGCGCTTCTTGCACCTGCTGGTGGGAGAATCCTGCCGGCGCGTCGGCGCTCATGATGTCGATGGCCATGTCGCGGGCCACGCGCAGGAAAGCTCTCGACAGCTCGCGGGGCCTGTCCTCGGCCGTTGACATGACGGCCACGTACGACCAGCCCAGCCGACGCAGAGTGCTCGCCAAGGCCTGCGACGGGCGAGGGAAAGTCATGCAGAAGACGCCGAGAACTTGTTAGGTACATCTAAAATGCCCGGGTATTTCCCCGTCGCTAAGAAGATTAAGTGAAAGCGGCAAGAGGTGAAAACGACCTCGAAAACCGCCGGAGTAGCATCTCGATTATCATGTAATGATACCAGACTGAATGCGTACTTCAGCTCTGTTTACCCAGAATATGGTACAAACAAGGTTCGTACAACAAGGTAAAAAGATGGTCGAACGAAACATATTTTCGTTGGAGGGAAAGGGGAATTCAAGCACCATTTATGGGAGTTCTTGCGCGTGCTTTTATGTGTGCGGGTGTACTTTTTAAAAGGCTGTCAAAATAAGCTTGTTGGCATGACTTCATTATACAAAACAGCGTTTCGAAGAGACGTGAATCTCGCGCAGATTCTGTGATTTCCACGCCCGGGAAATCTACGGAGCGTTCACGATCCATTCCATTCCGCCATGACGCGCAAAGGCACTGTTCATCATACGTACTGAGAGTACATTAGTTATCTACGCGTTTGAACTGTTACATTTTTATGAACGAGTCGATATGCATGCTTCGGGTCTCCAGTTTCTCTTATCTTTTTTTAGTTTTTATTTTTCTTTCCAAGGAAGCGCGTATATATTTGTCCCCGCGAAATAAACGCACATGTTGTTAGCCATCGCAAAGTCCCGTCTTTCTTGTACTTTGTACTTTTTGCCCGCACTGTTACCTATGATGAAGCGGGTGTATGAACGCACGCATGAGAACACAACCTCCGGCCCACGATTTTCCCGCTCAAATGCCATGGCAGAGGTAGGCGTGTAAATTGCTGAGCGACTACTACACGAAAGGCAGCTAGTGGTAAATAAATCCTTCCGAGTAGGCCATGTTAAATTTTAGAGCCTTTACCCCGCGCGGTCAAAATTTCCGTAGCACTCCACGTACTAAGGCGTCCCCCTTAATCACATGGTAGTTTCAGGACGCAACACCCCAACAATTGCTATTATTCGTGTCTTTCGTGTTTTCAGCACCATGCATGGGCAAGACCTGGTTAGGCACTCGTAAAACTTTTAGCAACGACAGAACGGAGAATTTACGAAGACGAAGTTGATAATAAAACAATTTCGAGCGACGTGATTGACAGTCGACAGTCCGCCACGGTGGATCACTATAGCTACGGTGCCCTGACCAAAAAGGTCGTGGGTGCGACCCCGGCCACGGGTTCGGTCGCGTTTCGGCGGTGGCGAAATTCCTGAGGCCCGTGTGCTGCGTGTCGACAGTGCACGTTAATTAACATTATAGATGGTCTAAATTTGCGGAACCCTTCACTATATAAGGCGTCCTTTATAACCGTATCGTGGCTTCGGAACGTAAAACATCGGACATTGTAAGTGACGTCAATCGCGTCGTTAAAAATAAGGTTCTCTGGAAAAACGAGAGCGTGTCTATTCTGGCGTGTGCATGGTGACTGTTAGCGCGGCTGCACGGCTGGGCCGCAGTAGCAGATTGCATATAATATATGTGTTTATGCTCAAACAAACGTATATACCTCGTCGATGCGACATCCTTGCGAGTTGGAAGGGAGTCCTCTGTACAAGCACACGCCGCCGAAATTAAGCGACCAGGAAGACAAACACGGAGCAGCTACAGTGTGCGCTGGTTTCTTGTCTGCCTTCCCCACCTGTTCCTCGCTACGATAGATTTCCTCCGCCATAGAGCGGCCTATGCGTCAACGTGCCAGCGTATATACTACAGTCGATGTCCGTAAACGGTCGAGCGCATATCGTTCCTCTTGCCGCCGTGACGATCACCAACGAAAACTGTTGCCCGCGTTTGAATGCATCTCAACGTAAGGTTAACTGCATCTGCCGCGGTGGTGTACTATATACGCTCGGCTGCTGACCCGAACGTGGCGAGTTCGATCACTGCTGTGGCGGTTGGATTTCGATGGAGGCGAAATGATAGGTGCCCGTGTGCTGTGCGGTGTCAGTGCCCGCTGAGGAACGCTAAATGGTCAAAATTCCTGGACCCCTTCACCAATACGGCGCCACTCATAAATGCATGTTGTTGTTGTTGTTGTTGTTGTTGTTGTTGTTGTTGTTGTTGTTGTTGTTGTTGTTGTTGTTGTTAACATAGTCAACTGACAGCTACGTCATCTGTGAAGAATGCTGCTTTCACGCAAATACACCCCTCTTATCTAAATTAGCACAAGATATTTGATTGCATCTTAACACATATTCAATATAGAAATGGTAATGGGAAGTCAGCAGAAACGCTACATCTGTAATTGTTTTTGTAGGGAATGTGACAGTTCTGTGTCGTACATTATTTTTCCTCTCTTTTCCTTGCTCCTTTGAGCCGTGGTCCAACCATGTTACCACCGTTTCGCTAGCTTTAACGAGGGTGGTCGTAAAAGAGTAAAATCAAGCAAAAAACATCGTAGCTCACATTGCACTCTTTTAGAAGTAAAGCAGAATATGTTCTACCGTCTCTGTAGTCACACCACGAAAAATTTTGTGTGTGCGCTTCATCGTTTTGCTGATCACCATAAACTTCGTCTAACAGATTCCTCCAGCAAGGGCCGTTAGCGTATGACATTCAGGGCGCTCGTCACGGTGGCATTCCTATTTCATTTTTAATTTTAGGAACGTAGCTCTTTAGGTCCTCACAATGTCCAACCGTTTTAATCGAGGCTGGTCGATCGTGCCTAGTCGCAGCGCAGGTGCGAAACATCTGTGTGCAACACCGTCTACAGATGCTTAAAAAACACTCTTTGTATTGTTTATCATTTTGTCCATCATCAGCATTCACTTCGTGGATCTGCAGCATTTTTTTATTAATATTTGCGTTCTGACTATTCCGTATTCGTCGATCAATTCAAATAAATGAGCTCACAGCAAGCACATCATCGCTGCATCCGTCCGTCATTTAACGCTGTCAGGCTCAGTTCAATCGGCACCGATCTGCTTGATGTGCCATTCGGTACAACTCATTTTCTCGGTTCGGGGCCTGACTCAACTGCGTAGCCAGTCCAACGGATCTTCTCCCTTAATGTGTTACGCTCCGGGCTCGCACATGTCCGCGCGCAGTATACTTTATAAGTGCGTTACGCGCAGCGCTCAATTCGTCATGTCATCTTCCTCCATGTCACTGTATAGCGTGGTTTCGTGAAGTGGCAATACGCCTTTGATTGTCCACAATTTGTGTGACTGACCTAGATGCAGCGTACATAGAGGCAATGACTCCAGAGTGCGATGCTGGCTGGTGTCGATCGCGGGTCTCATCTTCACACAAAATCAATTCCTGATAATGATATGTGAGGTGTCGCAGCCGGGCGTTACGCAAGCATTACAGTGTTTGAGGACAGCAAACCTGCAGCAGTGACATTAGCGTATACATCTGACGTGTGGCTGACCTCAAAATGAGGTCGCCCGTGCGCAAAGGTCACTCTAGCGATATGGTCAGGCGGCATTCTTCTGGCTCACAGGGAATTGACCGTCAGATTGAGCTCAAAAAACTTGTACTCGATACATCTCAGTGATCGTGTCACTGTGAATCGTCTGCTGCTCAATCGTACCTTCTAGAAACAACACTGACTATGGTCCTGCGTGGTGACCGTGTCACATTGATCACCACCGGCTGTGACCATATGCGTAGTACATGCTTCGTGCGCGCCTCTCACTGTTTCGAGCCGTATAGCTCCACATCACACATCGTAACATAGCTAGCCTGCGATATTGTGTTAGACACAAGGGTTAAAAGCTGAATAGAAAGAAAGTACAAGGGTGCAAGAACGCCAAAGGTGTTTTTTGTCCCCCTTCCCCCTTTCAACACGTAGCATAGCTAAATTATTTTTCCCCGGCTACTCTCCCCCCTGCGTTTCGGCTCTCTCACTATCTGAGACGCACCCTTGCGAGCGAAGTAGCCGCCGGGGCGGTGCTGTACAGATTGCGCAGTCTTCGGACGCTCTCTGCCGGAACGTCCCTGGCGGCCACCGCGGGAATCGAGAAGGAGGCCAGGGTCTTGGCCGTGGTCTCGACGGTCTCCACGTCCCCCTGGAGGATGGCACCTGCGTCAGACGACGAAAACGAGGATGATGAGGAGAGTTAGCGCCGAATCGTCGCCCGCGCACTCGATCGTGAATGCATGTAAGGGAACTGACCGAAAACGGGTGGAACCCGCGTTGTGGGGCAGGCCATGGAGCGCACGTGACCCGCCTGGTGGATGACGCGCACGCTTTGCCGCAGGGCCACGTCATCGCGCCCGCAAGTGTCGTACAGGTACACGCCTGGAGGAGAGAACCGACCGAGGGGTCGTGGATGAGAGACAAAAGATTGCAGATATGATGTAAACGTGTCAACGTTCATAAAGGGACAGTGACAATGCTTTGACTATCGATCTAGCTTGTGTTAGCTCCTGGAAATGCGAAACGGACCTGCGTGATTTTTTAGGCAATTATTTCAAACACTATAATGGTCATTCCTGGGCAAGTTCAATAATTCAACTACTGATTATTTTGTGTGTATATAGGCGTGAGCAGGGTTTTTCTTTAAGGGCTGTTGCGAAGGTTCGTCGTAGCGCAATCCCCTCCTTTCTCAGGGGACTAGGGGGTACGGCTGGCTGCCCCCCCCTCCCCTCGAGGGCGCGCACCTATGCGTTTGTGTATTTAGTGTACTTGTACAAATGTTTCTTACCTGTTCCCTTTAAATAGAAGATTGACTGGTTTATTGTGTGAGCGGGTGAGAACTGTTCGCCATTGTTATTACTATTATTGATTGGCTATTAACTTTTGTGCTTGGAAACCATTGTGCAGAAATTGTTTTCTTTTATGAGTGCTTTAAGGAGTTTGCACGCCGCTCACTCACTGACTCAATCAATCAATCAATCAATCAATCAATCAATGAACCAAACTCTTTACCGCAGCGCCTTTTGTCGCTATGGTTACTGGATAACAAATAAGATTTAATAATAAAGAAATATATAGGTGAATAATATCTCCAAATCGCTAAATAACTGCTGGAGTCTGACGACGCTTAATTCGACGACCTATCGTCACGTCGGCGCCGGAAGATGTATACATAGCCAAAAAGCCGGCTCGTTCACATAATACCGGTTCAAAATAAGCGGCACGAGGAAGGAAGTACACATCCATCGAGTTCGGGAAAACGTGCGTGCACGTGTACATTATGGCGCATCGCGGCCTGTTGGCTGTGTACGCACCACGCTCCCGAGCAGTTTGTATATAGGCGGTTGTTTGCGATTACGACGAAGCGTTTATTTTTTTATTTTTTATAGGCTTAATCCGTTCGCTTCTCTATCTGTTTCGATCTCGACCGCTCCGTACGAGGAAGACGGTCATAGCGAAGCTCGTTATACGAAAGTCGGCGCTTCTCTCGCGGAGCGCTGGCCATGCCAAGGTTACCGGCGGAATTTCCCGCTTGTTTTCTTCTTTCGCGCCGGTTTCAGCAAAAAACCCTTTTTTCTCTGTATCCTCTTATTTTATTTCTTGCTTTCTTCGGCGTCATGCTAGCGCGTAACCGGAACGCTCGCTTCATTAATGCGCGCGATATCGTCTGACGTATTTGTGAAAGTTTGCGGAATAAACACGGCGGTGAAAAGCGAAGCTTTGTTCCATTCTAGAATCGTTCCCGCACCTTTCTGCTCGCCCGACGCGCTCCCGGGTGGTGGAAGGGGGAAATCACTTTTTAATGGCGTACAAAATGGTGGGGCCCCGTCGTGGTCGCGAGCCGCAGCGAGAAAGTGCGAGAAGACGACGAGACCGTTTATGCCGCATTTGGCTTTATACACACGGAAATGCTCGACACGCACACTTTAGTAACAGAAAAGAGTCGCGGCTATTTCGAGATGAGAGCTGGAGCGCCACGCAATCGACAGGCGGCTCGCCATTTCCGTGTGACCTTTGCTTCGCGACATCCACTGTAGTGGGACACCGCGTCATCTATTTCAGAACGTCGGCTTGGTGAGACAGCAGTGCGCTTCAGTTTCCTTAATACAGTGGGATTTGCTGGTTGCAGCACCATTGTTGGTAAGACTATACTTCGACAAAAACAAACGCTTCTCAAGTGCACCTGAAAAAGGGTTCTTTCGTTTGTTTTTATAAGCAAGGAAATTTTCAACGCAATCTGTACCAATTATTATATATGGTTTGCCGCCCGATTTCCAGCTCGCATAAAGTTTTTCTCTACTCTCTCACTTGCTGTTTCTGCTTTTGTTTAATTCGTTGAGATACTAAAGTGGTTCTAACTACGAACAAAGAGAAGAGTAAGGTAATTTAACCTAACAAGTCCAGCTCTGTTATCTCCCAACGACGGAAGTTTGGATACCCTTAAGAGTAAAAATACTGTACGCAGACGTGAAACCAATAACAGTGGTTTCGCGTTGCTTGTATACACCTTTTCACAGGAAGGAAAAAAAAAACACCGCCATGATGGGCTGTGCGCGGGAGTACAAAGGCTAAGGGCGCAGCCTTGTCAGTGCATTTTCGAAGGGACGCGCCAATTTGCACAGCCCAAGGAGGGCTATGGCGGCGCCCAGGGAGGCGTTTATGAAAAGGTGAAACAGGTCATCCAGCTTTACTTTCACCGTCTACCGCTCAGCGCTACAAATTTTCGAAGCCCTCTCTGTGCATAGAGCCACTTCTTTTAATCGCCATTTACGGGGCACGGGAATCTATATTGCTGATCATTGACGTCACCGCAGCACGTGCAACAAACGTCAGCATAAAAGGGAAACGGGGCGAAGGAAGAAGCTCGGTCGGAGTCATCGGCAACGAATGTGGGGAAAAAAAAAACAGATTCACCAGGTAACACGGCGCAGCCATTTATAAGTACGAGGCCATGGGAGTCGCTCTCGGGATCATCGGTGCAACTAGCCGGTTCGAATCGTCTCACTGAACGGGGGGCCGCTTTCGTATGCTGTCGTCATACGCATTCGTCGTGCACGCAAAGACGGGTTATTTTTCCTCCCGCGTGCAGGCGGTAAATTAAGTCGTCTAACAAACGCCGCCATAGAAGGAAAGAAACGCAATTGTAACTGTTGGTACCTTGCTAAGGAAAATAAACCTGGCGCGACTGCGTTGTTGGCATCGTGGGTGGCAGACAACGCGTTTCGACTTGTAGTGTGTAAAAACAGATCTCACGGCACACTGCTTCATTTTATGCGCAACATTGGTCTTAACGGTGCACATTTAATTGAAGCGTGGACATAAAATATTATGCCTCAAGGGCAAGTATATTTGTCGCAGTATAATAAAATAAAACGAAACTGGGGAGTCTATTTGCACGTGTAGGCCTTGGTGCACAGTGCTTTTGATCCTGGACTGCTCAGCTGAAAGTCTCGGGTTCGATTCCCGCAGCGTTGGTCGCATTTTGATGGAGACGGCATGCTAGAGGATCATGTATATTGTGCTTTATGCCATTGCATTTCAAAGAACACCGGATGGTCGGAGCTTTCGAAGGGCCTCCGCTACAGCGTGCCTTATAATGATCTCGTGGTTCTGACTCGTAAAACACCAGGTACAGTGAAACTTCACTTCAACGAATTTTAAGGGACCCCAGGAAAATGTTCGCTAAAGTGAAAGTTGGCTGAACGGAAATAGCTAAGCTGCAACTTGTTATCATGAGCTGAAGAAATGATATTGATATGTGGGGTTTAACGTCCCAAGACCACCATATGATTATGAGAGACGCCGTAATGGAGGGATCTGGAAATTTCGAACACCTGGGGTTCTTTAACGTGTGCTCGAATCTGAGCACACGGGCCTACATCATTTGCATCTCCATTGGAAATACAGCCGCCGCAGCCGGGATTCGATCCCGCGACCTGCGGGTCGCGGGAGCTATTGTTGAAATCTATTGTTGAAATCAAATTCGAAACATTTTATTTATGACTCGGCTCATCTTAATGTGAATTTCTACTTAATTGGCATGCTTACAAGAATGCAGCAATCTTCCGCTGCACTTGTGCATTTAGGACTGCAGCGGTCATGAATTGAGCCACCGTGTCCGAGCTCTCATAAACCTTCTCCTGCAGGACACTCTGCTGTGCCGTAAAATATTGAGTGCGCCGCCTTCTTGCAAGCGGGCTTGAACTGCGCACTTTTCCATTGCAGCTGCGATTACTTGACACTGACTCTTCAATTATCGACTGTGATGTTCGTTACCAGGTACACCACGCTACCAACAACCCACTACAAGAACTACAAAGCAAGCGTGTTCCTTTTTACCCAGGTTGAAATCGGACGGGGCCTTCCTGAAGTTCGCCTGCTGCGCAGCCCACACTCCGGCCAGGGCAAGCCGCACACGGCGCGGGTCCAGGGAGCCGCAAGCGCCGTCTCCGTTGGACCCCGCGGAGGCGCTGCCGTTTCTTGCCGTGGTTCGCAGAGGCATCAGCAGGGCGATGTTCGCCTGGCCCGGGTAGATTGCGGGACTCGGATCCTCGGTACATGCAACGCCGCCGGGCCACGTGGACAGTGACAGCAACAACCCGACTGCCGACAATCGCGTCGCCCGAGTGGACCACGTTGGCTTGAGACTTGCCATCTGGACGGTGGGTCACCAGGGTTTTATCTAACGGAGCAAAGAAAGAGGTAACGAGAGAAGGAGAAAAACAAAGAAGGAATTAGTATACAAGCACTACTTGTGGTCTATAGTTTGAGGAACGTTGCAATAAAATGAATCAAATAAGCGGAATCGGAGGGATCGTTTTAACGGCGGAGCTGGTTAAGCGTGGTGACGCTTCGTTGTCATCTCGCATTAACTGTTATACCTTATACTATACTTTACTATACTATAATATACTATAGTCCACGTTTGTAAACAGTGGTAGGCGTGGTCGACATATTGCGGCACTTAAAACGACGTCGCGCGCCGCGCAGGCTCTGCCCAGCCCAAAGCTCGCCACCGCCCTCTATGACCACACGAAAACTGGCACAGCATCTAGCTGTCTCCAAGCACAATGCGGTGACGCCCCCGAATCGCGGTAATGCCTTCAGGTAATGCGAAGAATTATTGGCCAGCTGCCAGCTGGAAATAAGATCACTTGCTACGTGACGCCAATAGGCAAAAAAAAAAAAAAGTGTTCCGCACTCGTCACAATGGCTACTAGTGGTGAGACAGACACTCCCATGCTTGAAATGCACGTATATACCCTACGAAATGGGCGGAGAGATGACCGCAACCTTTTGAGCATCGGACGCGATATTCGAAGGTCGGAGGTTCTGTCCCTGGCGACGGCAAGTTATCTTTTCGCCCACACGTATTTCTTGACATTTACATTACGATCACTTCTGAAAACAGCCCCTAGTCTTTTCTTTTGGCAGCATTCTCTCTTATCCCTCGTTAATATCCTTGCCCCAGAATTATTTATTCCTGAATAAAATAATGAACTGAATGTGACCTTGCGTGCAATTGCGTATGTATATTTTCTGGGTGTGCCGTGAAATTCGTTGCGGTGCAAATTCAAGTATGCCTATAAACAGCACGACCAGTCTTCAACCTTAGCAGTTTGCGTTGTCAGGCGATACGAGAACTTGATATTCACTGCACATTTTTTTTTTTTTGTTTTCATCAGCATTTGCCGTGATCGTTGGAGGAGAACCAGGTGGATGACCGAGCGACCGCACTAAGTCCGACCACGTGCTTATGGTGGCAAATACTGAACGTAGGGGCCGTTCTTCGATGCGTAGCCCCGCGCGAAAGTGCTTTCCATAGAACCAAGTATTTTCGCATCTGAGCCACAATCCAGCAGCCGTTTACTTTGCGACGGCGATCTGTGCGCTAAAAGAAAGAAAAACGAACGGGCGTCGGCGGTTCACCTTTCAGTGCTCGGCCCGTAATACGACCAGTTCCTGACACGCAACCATCCGAGCGCCGGAGCTAAGCAGAGCAAATGAGGCTCGGCCACGAGAGGAGATTCCCGGCGGTCACCCCAGCTGGCTCCGTACGGAGGCTGTTTTGTGTCGTCGCGCTTGAAACGGACACGGACGACCGGAGCCGAAAAGGAGACGGCGGCTCACCGCGTGAGCGAAACGTAGTCGCGCGGATCCGCGGGGACCATCTCGAGCTGGCGGTCGAGGTCTGGTTGGTCTGCACAAATGCTTCTAGGCGTCGTTCAGCGACCACTTGTCTGCGGTCCATACTGCAGCCGTTCCTTCTCTTAGGTGTTGCCTTCTTGCTGACTTTTTATCAACTTCGGATTACTTTGCGAGTGTGGGTTGGCGTCTCGTGTCATCGCTTGTCATCTTGGGTCGTCGCTTGGCGTCACACACGCGGAAACGCATAGTATCATGCATAGCTATGTGTAGTATAGCAAGCGGGCGGGAAAGGGAAGCTAGGGTGAGCAGTGATGAGGAGGATGGAGACAAGGAGAGTAGAGAATAGCATAGCCATGCGTGGTATAGTATAGCAAGGAGGTGAGAAAGTGAAAAGGAAAAGAGGGTGAGAAGGAGTTATGCGAGGGTGGTAAAAATAGAGGGTAAAAGCATTGCATATCCATGTGTAATGTGTGTATCCATGTGGAATGAGCGCCCGTACAGGTATGGGCGAAACTTGGCGACTGCCCATACAAGGGCGAGGCACTCGCGCTCCGTGATGGAATAGTTGTGCTCGGCTGGAGATAGTAGTCGACTTGCGTAGGCTATAACACGGTCGTGTCCACGTTGTTGCTGCAATAGCACAGCTCCTATGCCGTGTCCACTGGCGTCCGTGTGAACCTCGGTTGGGGCTAATGGATCAAAGTGAGCCAAGATTGGTGGCGTTGTAAGCAGTGTCGTAAGTTGCGAAAACGATGACGCTTGATCATGGCCCCAGGTAAACGAGGCGTCTTTCTTCAAGAGGTCTGTGAGTGGGCGTGCAATGGTCGCAAAGTCCTTAACAGAGCGTCTGAAATACGAGCACAACCCCACAAAACTGCGGACATCCTTTGTGGTCCTCGGAACGGGAAAGTTCGTGACTGCACGAATTTTCTCTGGGTCTGGACGCACGCCTTGGGCATCGACAAGGTGACCAAGCACGGAAATTTGGCGACGAGCGAAGTGGCACTTGGAGGCGTTAAGCTGGAGTCCGGCTCGACGAAAAACGTCCAAAATAGCTGACAAACGATCAAGATGCGAGTCGAATGTGGGCGAAAAGACAATAACATCGTCAAGGTAACACAAGCAGGTGGACCATTTCAACCCTTGGAGCAATGAGTCCATCATTCTTTCAAATGTGGCTGGTGCATTGCAGAGTCCAAAGGGCATCACCTTAAACTGATAAAGACCATCAGGAGTGATGAATGCGGTCTTCTCGCGGTCCATCTCGTCGACGGCTATCTGCCAGTACCCTGACCGAAGGTCAATAGTTGAAAAAAAAAAGTGCCGCCACATCCACGAAGTGAATGATGATGAGTGGGCGAAGCTCCGGAGGTAAACCTGGTAAACCATGAATCCTCCGTACATTTTGCCCACTCTATTTTATTGCAACGCTCCCCCTAGCGTACGTCGCCGCACTATATCGAACGATGACACGCGCCATATGTGGCATCATTCCTATTTTATAACACCTCGCATCTTTCATAATCAACTACACGTACCGCCGTCTAGTTTATAACATCTTGCATCTTTTGGATGGATGGATGGATGGATGGATGGATGGACGGACGGACGGACGGACGGACGGACGGACGGACGGACGGACGGATGGATGGATGGATGGATGGATGGATGGATGGATGGATGGATGGATGGATGGATGGATGGATGGATGGACGGACGGATGGACGGATGGACGGATAGATATGGCTGTACCCTTTAGATAGGGCGGTGGCTAGCGTAATACTTAATGCCGTCAGCTACAAGTACCGCCATCTAGTGAACACTGCAAGAACTGAACGAGAGGTGGCTACATACAGGGGACGCACAGCCCACGCCTTAAGGAGCTTCGCTCCTAATAGGTGGCACCGTACAGGCAGTCGAGGGCGTCGTCGATGCGAGGTAAAGGATAAACGTCTTTTTTGGTAATTTTGTTAAGGTGACGGTAATCGACACAAAAACGCCATGTTCCATCTTTCTTTTTAACAAGGACGACTGGAGAAGCCCAGGGGCTGCATGAAGGCTCGATAATGTTTTTCGCAAGCATTTTGCCGACTTCATGTTGTAATATTGCACGCTCCGACGCCGACACACGGTAGGGGCGTCGGTGAATGGGGGTTGCATGGCCAGTATTTATGCGATGGGTGACAATGGTCGTTTGGCCTAAAGAGTTGCTGGCAAAGTCGAAAATGCTACGATAGCCCCCAAGAACGTGGCAAAGCGCTGAAGCTTGCTCAGACGTGAGGTCTGATGACACCATTCGCTCAATGTCGGCACCCCAAGAACGTGATGGAGTGGAACCACTGACTGAGCTGCAGCAATCGTCAACTCTGAAGGGCTCGACATGGTCATCTTGGAGAGCAGTAATTTTGGCCAGGGAGATACCCTGTGGCAGAACTTGGGTGGTGAGTGAAAAGTTGACGAGTGGAAGGAAGGTGCGGTTTCTCTTAATCGTCAGAATCATATGCGGCACAGCAACCCCATGCGTAAGCATCACTGCAGGAATCGGGGCCACCATGTAATCACCATCAGGTACTGGCGGCGTGGAGGATAAGTCGACATGTGTGACGGAGTTAGGAGGGAGACGCGTGAAATCAATGCAGCAGAGGCTGGTTTGCGGTGGGCTAGGCGTTTCGGAAAAGAGGGGTAAATCGAGATGAAGAGAGCCAGCTGAACAGTCTATGAGGGCAGAGTGCGTGGCTAGAAAATCCATACCGAGAATGAGTTCATGAGGGCAATGTTCGATAACGGCGAAAAGAACGACAGTGCTTCTCTCCCCAATAGACACTCGCGCAGAGCACATGCCAAGAATTGCGGCAGTTCCTCCATCGGCGACTCGTACAGCTCGGTTGAGGGCGGGCGTGACAACTTTTCTAAGTCGGCGGCGAAGGTTAGCACTCATAATGGACACATGCGCGCCAGTATCTATCAACGCACTGACACGAACATTGTCGACAGTAACGTCCAAAAGATTCCGGTTCGTTGTTAACGTTAATCGAGGATTTCTTACGAAGGTCGTCAACGCAGCTCCACCTCCAGACGCTGCACGGCCTAGTTTTCCGGTCGGAGATGCTGCGAATAGGTCGGGGAGGCAGCACGGCGTTGTGGGGGCGACCGGGACTGACGACGAGCAGGGGACGGTGACCGGTCGTAGCGAGGTCTGCTGAAAGGTGCTGTAGGAGCGGAAAATGTGGTCGGCGTTGATGGAGAAAGTGATGGGGACGATTCGCGAGCAAAAGTGGTGTAATACTGAGGTGCATAATGGGACGGTGGAGCCCAGCGGCTGCGGCAGTGACGTGCGATATGACCAACGCGTCGACAGTTGAAACATATGGGCCTGTCATCAATTAAGGGTACGCCATTCGGACGGATTGCGTTGTATGCGAGGAGCAGAAGGGGGACGAAAAGAAGGCGCAGCAGAGTATACGGCAGGTACAGGATGTAGGCCGACATTCGATAGCTCTTGACGAACGACGGCTTGTATCAAAGAAATCGTGG